AATAAATTCAAAATTTAGAAGTTTTTTGGATCTAACTTGTTGCATATGGTTACAAAGAAGTGTCCATTTTTAGATGCCGTGTTATTGCTACGACAAGGCACTTGAAGCGATGCATACTGGGTTTGAGTCTGGATAGGAACAGCCTCACCTACTTAGGGGGTGGTACATTCAACTGACGAATCTCAAATAGGGTGAAACGTACCACATGGTTTATACTGTTAAGTGAGTTTAGGTATATATACAAATTTTAGGTCACGCTTAACTTTATGAACTGTTTTCAGTTCTCTCCCATGCATGTTGCATAACCATGAAGTTTTCTTTTAACTTCATCTCTTGTTTCACTTTCATAGTCCATATCATATTATCACTGTGATCAGAAGTCAATAAGATACAACAGCATTTCCACACTGAATTAATTATTTTCTATCCGGTGGTCGGTGGTTCTATTCGTGAGGCGACCTAAATCTTCATTTAACTTTCAATCACCATCCAGTATAAATAAATATAAGCCTAACTAATCAGTTATCATTCTACCCAACTGTGAGGAATCGTATATGACAACCATTCAATTATATGAAGTAGTGATAAGTAATTGGTAGTAAAACTACTCCGTATACTGAGTAGAAACTAAATTATTTGTTCTAAATCGTAGACTGTGTAGGCGTTAGGCAGAAAACTACAATGCAGTACAGAAATTGCGGCAAACCGGTAATTTTATGAAAAATAGTACAATCAAGAAGAAATTATATGGGACTTCATGCAATAGTGTACCTGTCTAGCTATTTATATAGATACATCTAGATGAGAAAAAGCCGCAGAAATGATTAGACCGATATCAATAATTAACTAAAACAGAAAGAAAAAGAAGAGATCAGTCAGGCGTGAAAAAAAAGGATTGACTAACTGAATTTTTGACAAGAACAATGTGATAAAGAGTAGATATGTCAACGCCACTATGACTGAACTGAAGTCTTTTCACCTATGGTTTGAAATCATTAAATTTATCTGTCTATTTGGCTACTGTCACATAACCCATTGTCTTTAAATCATTTCATATTCATAGTTAGGAGTTTCATCAATTACTGTCGGTTGTGACTTTTTCTGCTGTGACCCTTATGCAAGTTATGTAGAAAAATAATATTATCAAATGAAAAAATGAACCCCTCATAACTTAAGCTACTCAGCTAATCTGTTGATTTACTAAATATTTGATTTGAATTTAAGACACACTTGGCATATTGAGTAATGTTGGTCTTTATTAGCCAAGTTTTAAAACAATCATTCTTGATGTAGAAATACATACACCTGCTGGGGAGAAGTTAAGACTAGTTGTGGTGAGAATGACATCGGAAACTAGGGTTATCATTATTCGTGGATAGTGGCTAGTAGTGAGATTCAAGACGCATGTTACGTCCTATCTGGGAATCGTTAGCTGGATGTACCTGCCTCCCAGTGATTTATATTGTCCCCAGCAGGACTCCAACTTGGGACACATTACTTTAAACCCCAGAGCACTGCCCATCAGAACACCGAGTCATGATAGCAACTTCTTATGCGACGGGTATAGTTTTTTAATGTCGTTGCTTGTATTATCCCGTCGTTGACTGGACCGAATTGATCGGTTGGCATTCCATTGTGACTAATAAAAACTGGAATTGATTAAAAAGGTATTTAGAACCGGGAATTGTTTAAGAATTTATTTAAACTATCATGTAACCTTTTCAGTTATATGCACAGTCGACATTAGATGGGATTGGATTCATACTCTTAAGTGTAAAATTGCATAAAATCAGTTACTTGTTCAGTAGTTATTCACTTTTCACCAACAACTTCCTTCAATATCAATTTTTGGTTGAATAATAGCGTACTGGCAGCTAGGCTTGATGGTCCTGGTAGAGTGGTGGGCACGTATTGTTGAGGAGTACCGTACTACAGCGAAGCAACTATTCAGTGTTCCCAGTTTTCAAATGGTTCTTCAACTGATGTGAATCCATGATGGATGCCACTTTAGGATTGACGTAAGAATTCATGCTCTTTAGAGTTAAATATTGCATGCATATAAATTGATGGCTATTTTTACGATTGTATTCTAGTTGACAATATTTGACTGCAACTCAGCGACTCAACAATTACGTGATTACTGTTTCTGAATTCAAACCAATATTAGGAGCTAGGATGAGTAGTGAGTTCTTGAACTATACAAAACCGGTGTGTAATCCAATCTATTTTAACAGAGTTTACTAGTTCATCTCAACTCAAGGTGAAGGCTATCTTCAGGTTATTTGACTCTGCTCAGATGATGAGACCGAATAATCAGATTATGAGGGATACCATATTTTATTGTCCCAGAAAGTATACACCGTTTTCTCTGAAGTCACTTGAGATAAAATGTTTATACTGGGTGATGACTGAAGGTGAAATGAAAATTTGGGCAGTGGCAGGATTCGAAGTGAAGGGTAATAAAAATCTGATCAGCAGTAGCGTCTCGTAGCTCAACTGATAGAGCACCGAGTCAGAAACCGGTGGGTTACTGGCTAGAATCCTGCCCCGGTCCAAATTCCCATTTCACCTTCAATCACCATCACCTAGTATCAATACCAGTCTACCAAATCACGGCTACCTCAGATAGTCAAATTGGCAAGTCTCATTGTACGACTCGATAAATAATCACCATAACATCCCGCCGTTTAGTTTAATTGTAATATTACATACTGTTGTTGTTAAACTTCAGCCAGACCTTCGTTAAATAGGTCACTAAATTACGAATGTAATGTGACCACTGATTTAAAAGGCAGTGTCAGTTTTTAAATGTCATGTAAAGATAATTCTATTGGCGATGAATATCAGGGGAATCTAGGACTCAGGTTTCATCCTACTTCGAACTATTTAAGACTTGTGGAAAGGTCTCACTTGTGACTCTTAATAGACATTAAACCTTGGCCCCTGGCGTTCTGACGGCTTATGCTGGACATCAAAATGTAAATCTAAGAAGAGTGGCAATTACATCTCACTAGGCTTGATGGTTAGCTTATACTTCTAGCCAACACAGTTCTGTCAGCAGTCGGGAACTGCGATCTTAATTATTAACAATTCAACAACCACCTTATGATTATAGCTGTTGATTACTGAATTAGCAGTTAGCTTATATGAAGTGAAAAACTTAGAGGCAACTACCAACGAAATAATGTGAGAATTCAAGGGACAGTTTAACTATTAATCACGGGTAGTGGCCAGTAGTGAAATCCAGGATGCTCGTTTCGCCCCATTTTGGACTCATTAACTGGATGTTCCTGCCTTCCGGTGAGTGATGTTGTTCCCACCTTCTACTCGAAACTATAACTAGTCGCTTCAAGCACCAGAACGTTATTCACTAGGCCACTGAGTCACCATAGTAATTCCTTTTGCGACGGGTATAGTATACTTTTGATGTGATAGCATGTGAATCTTCTTCGCTGATTGGACGGGACTGATCAGCCATTATTGGCACTTGGGCTCCTGCGCAGACGAAGCGCGCGTCCTGGATTCCTCTTTTAACCACTATGCATCCACGTAGAAACCCATGAGACAATAGTGGCCGATCGATTCTGTCTGATCAACGACGGGAAATTACAATCTGTAGCATCAAAATGGTATAAATGTTTCATCTTGCTGTAAGGTAATAAATAAGATTGAAAGAAAGAATAGTAAAAATAATCATACTCGAAAACATAGCATCAGTCACAATTAGCAGAAATCAGAATTAACTGACTAGTTGACACTTTTAGTGAAAAAGTATTTAATACCATATTGTGAGTAGCATTCACAATATACCGTGAACATATTGGAAACATGAATCTGAACATCTAATTATAATCAAATCTAATCTCTGACCTCTGAAAGTCTTAGTTGAAGAAGTTATCACTAAACCTTTCGTAGTGGGCGTAGCTGATAAGAGTGGATATAAGTAGTATATGTTGAGAAGGCAGCAGAAATAATAGGGAATTACCAGCAATGAGTAAAGATTCAGCCCAGAGAAACGACAGAGACAACGCAAGTGTATGAGGAGAAAAGCAAGAGAGAAGCAGAAGAGGAAATGAAGCATATTATGCAAATGACTTAGTCTAGGGTGTACCATGTTTAACGACTATTATACCACATGTTATTAATAAACATTTCTTCCTTCGTCACTGTCTTCTCATTTCTTCTAATTGGTGTCGCTGCCAGGATCCCGGGCACCCACCAGCTTCGCGACCGACTCGAAGTGCCTAAGGAAGACCTTGATGTCTCCATCTTCGTACACTGAAGTCCGCGGAATCTTCATTACGTCCAGAGGCATCCACTCCAATTGAAGGAAATGAGAAGACAGTGACGAAGGAAGGAATGTTTATTATTAACATGTGGTATAATAGTCGTTAAACATGGTACACCCTAGACTAAGTCATTTGCATAATATGCTTCATTTCCTCTTCTGCTTCTCTCTTGCTTTTCTCCTCATACACTTGCGTTGTCTCTGTCGTTTCTCTGGGCTGAATCTTTACTCATTGCTGGTAATTCCCTATTATTTCTGCTGCCTTCTCAACATATACTACTCATATCCATTCTTATCAGTAACGCCCACTGCATTTTCACATACAAATGGGTTACCTACCCGTAGAATGAAAACTAATCAACTACTTTACACCTCAAATCATTACTATAGTCAATACTATTATTATGATGAGTTATATCTTTAAATAATGCTTCTCTATACTCTAGTTATATATATAGCCAATCAGAATTAAAGAAAGTGTACATGACCATGTAAAGAAGCGTAAGACTAATTTCACGTAATGAGTTTCTGATTGGTTGATATAGCGCATTAAAAAGGAAGACGTTAGACAGTATAAAAAATATTAATAATAAGGATGTAGATCTAGCGAATAAAAATCCTTTCCACTCAAAGTAGAAAAAAGACTTTGCAATTAGTATTGTTTGTGTTTATCATTTACGAAATGATGAAGTTTAGTAATCCTGGATAAATATGTTCACCAATGCAGAACTTATTTTGAATTAGGTTTCTTTAAATCTCTAGTAAAAATAATCATATTGACTGTCAGTAAACAATGGATCATGCTTTTTCGATAGCTTCACTACTAGATGCTGATGAACGAAAACTACTTATTGCCTGCGATAATGGTGTTGGTAATGAAAGTTGTAATGATAATAATCCTTATATTCACAATGATGTGTGTATTGCACATAAAAATATGGCCAATAATTCACCTTGTACGACACAAAGTCGAAGTGATTTAAACGTGTTTTTACAAAATAATGATCATTTTCAACTTCATCCAATTTTTACCACTGTCAGCTCTAATATGGATACATCAGTACCCATAAAATCAATGAATTACTCTTTTCTCCATGATAAATTCGACCAAGATTATTTTCGTGAATCATCTCACTTATCTGATAAGCAAGATGTTGATGATAAAAAGGAAGGACTTACAATAGAAGACGATCAAAGAACAAATTATAATGATCCAGATAACTATTCATCGTTGAACCAATACAGTTGGACAGTCGATGAACAATGTGAAAATCACGATAAATTAAATTTCAATGAACATGATTCAGATCATATTCACAGTGCTGAATATGCTTTATGTAGAAATCAGCTGACTAATTGGTTGAGTCAGATAAATAAAACAAGGCATGGACATAAGAATAGCGATATTACTACTGGAGTCAATACTACCTCCGACAGTACGAGTACGAACACCACTAATCTTATTCAATCGTATATTAAAAAATGGTCTACAAGTGATACACATTCGAATCACATCAATAAATCACCTAATGGTGATAATAATAATAATAGTTCAAACACATCTGAAACTACTAACAATTACAAAAGTAATAGTACTCACAATAAAAGAATTGATAAAAGTGGGAAAAATTCTAAGCACTACACCGATGAAAATAATGACAGTATTTTGAATAAAAATCTAAACCCTAATCACATATTACAATCACAAATCCACTGGTATAATTCAAACTTCATTAAGCGTTATTTCGAAGGTCATGGTAAGTCAGAACAAATCATATTATCCTATCTATAAATAGATACGTTTGAAATAAGCATCTCGTGAGTATATGGTTGACGTAGCTCATTCGTAAGACTACCCGGCCGGAAACCTCAAGGTAGCTGCATGGAATCCTACCGTCGTTCAGATACTCATTTCACCTTCAGTCATCGCACAGTATCAGTGAAAGTCCTCCAAACCATAACTATTTAAGATAATCAAACTCACTTTTATGTATATATATATATATATATATATATATATATATATATATATATATATATATATATATATATATATATAATTGTGAAGTTAATGAGGATTTCGTCCATATTAATCACAAACTGACATCAGTTGGGAAACTATTGAAAACTTAGGGGAACTGGAAAGCCCTTTCGTCCTAGCATAGAACTCCTCAGAACCACACACCCACATACCTAACACACAGAAGGTCGAACTCACCACCTATACGTTCCACAGAAAATGCCTTAATCATTCGATCACACGGTCGGAGTTCAATGATTCACAGTTTCCTACTTCTCTCGATTCACTATATACAGTGACTATCATCCAACGTCTTCAGTCGGCATCCAATTCGCTTTCAACTGACTGACCTCACAGATCACGGCTTCTCATTTGAACTTCGGAATATCCATCTCGATGCATGTTATCAATGATATCCCGAAGTTCAAATGAGAAACCACGATCTGTGAAGTCAACCAGTTGGAAGGGAAGCAGATGCCAAATGAAGACAATGGTAGCTAGCCAAACTATACTCGTGAATTGACAGAGGTAAGGAACTGTGAATTATTGAACTCCGAGCCAATGACTGGCTGGTTAACGTGTTCATTGTGAAACCCGAAAGTTCTGAGTTCAGTCAGTGGTGGTGTCATGGGTACGTACTGTTGAGGATTTCTATGCTAGGACTAAGCGTCTGTTCAATCCCCCAATGTTTTCAATGTTCCTCCAACTGTTGTCAGTCCGTAATGTATTCTACCTTAAGATAATATATATGACATGAAGCTGCGAATCAGCAAGATAAGTGAAACCATATAGCTGTTATGTCCACATTTGTGACACTTTTTTAGCAGTTAGTACTCTTGGTTCAAGATAAGACCAACAAGAGAATAGTCAGATGTCATGTCTTAAAAATTGTCACCATACGAAGTAGACAACGGAAGTTAATGACTGCAAAATAACCTCATTTATTTGTTTTATTAACCGAGAATGGATTCCATAAAAAGGAATAAAGAACTGAACATTTTAAAAGCACCGGTTTTAAAGTTGATCTCTTCTAGCTTACGTCTTCAAAACTGACTATTCTTGTTGAACATCTTGTTAAGATTGTCTAATTTTAAAATTACCTTGAGTGATAGACGGTTCTGAGTAGACTATTTTAGGAAATGTTACTATTCTTTCATGATGCACCCTACGACGAGTGCTTGAACAAGGAACGAAGGTCAATTTTCATTTCTCTTGTTTTTATGTAATTGATTTTATTTCATCATATACTAAAACAATTTTCTAAATAGAAATCTATGTGATAACTGAGGATAAAATCCGCATATTTATCGCTGACATCAAGATGTATTTGTTGTGGATCCTTGTTAAGTGAGTGACTTGAGGACAGCACGAAAATAAAAATAACATGGTTTTGAATATGATTGCTTATACTGTACAAATAAAATCTTGGATTTGGTAAATGACGTCAGCTGAACCTAATAAATAAGGTCGATTACGATGGAAAATCTATTCCCTTGATATGATGCAAAGCACTTAGTGGTGATTATGTAACTAGAGTTACCTCAGTTTCAGAAGTATAACTTTATCAACATTTAATCCCATGTTTTTGTGTACGTAATCTTCAGTTTTCATAAAAGGGTACGCAGCTTGACTTTGAATATATAGTTTTAAAAATGCACCAGGCATAGAAATATAGTACTCAATGCCTAAGTATATAAAACACGGGTAAATTTTGTTTGACTTTGAAGGCCACCCTAGCAACAACTGAAATGACCAATGATACTTCTCCATTTTTTGAAAATCCGCCTTTCCAACAAAAATAGAGAAGCCTAATTGTTCATTCCGATTGTTGCCAGGGTGGTCTTCAAAGTCTCTAAATTTTCGGTGTAAACATTTCAAAATTAGAGAAACTTTAACGGGGTGACTCTAAAGGCTGCTCTAGCAACTGATGAGATAGCCAATTACATTCCTTTATTTTACGGAAAAGTACTTTTTCCAGGCAAAATACCAATGACTGATTGGTCATTTCAGCAGTTGCTAGGGCGGCCTTAAATCACTCCTTAACGGCTACCCTAGCAACTGTTGAGATAACCAATTACGTTCCTCTATCTATGACAAACTACCCTCCAAGTAAAGGTTCTCAAATCTGATTGGTTAATTAACAGTTGCTGGGGTGGCCTTTAAAGTCACTCCAAAATTAACTTACGTTCGTTTATAAAACCGTAACTACCTGAATATTGAATAGTTGGTTTGTTTTTACTAAAAAGAAATAGCTAATTTAGACAACTGGAAGCATAAACCATTCATATTGTGAATATGAACAAATATGCGGCTAGAATAATCGACTAATATTTTATGTGGTTGATTTATCTACACCAGGGCTTGACTATAATTCATCCATTGTATGTTTGACAGAATATCTGCGCCGTTAGTAATCATATTTTACGAAACACCTTTTTGGGCAATTCATCCACACGACTAGGTCATTTAGAATATTTTAGAATCTGCTTTCATTATTTTCAGTTTTAAACAAGAAATGTTATCTATGAGTTATCCATTGCTCAAAAGCGATTTCCTTTTGCTTAGCCCAACAGAATTTATCGACCTATGATTCTACTCTAGAAGGTTTCCCCTTTAAAGGATATTTCTTTGATAAGTAAAAACCGACACTCCCAAAGGTTTATAGTGAACAAATGCTTCATTAATATTTGAGGAAGTATACATTACGGACTGACAACAGTTGGAGAAACATTGAAAACATTGGGGGATTGAACAGACGCTTAGTCCTAGCATAGAAATCCTCAACAGTACGTACCCATGACACCACCACTGACTGAACTCAGAACTTTCGGGTTTCACAATGAACACGTTAACCAGCCAGTCATTGGCTCGGAGTTCAATAATTCACAGTTCCTTACCTCTGTCAATTCACGAGTATAGTTTGGCTAGCTACCATTGTCTTCATTTGGCATCTGCTTCCCTTCCAACTGGTTGACTTCACAGATCGTGGTTTCTCATTTGAACTTCGGGATATCATTGATAACATGCATCGAGATGGATATTCCGAAGTTCAAATGAGAAGCCGTGATCTGTGAGGTCAGTCAGTTGAAAGCGAATTGGATGCCGACTGAAGACGTTGGATGATAGTCACTGTATATAGTGAATCGAGAGAAGTAGGAAACTGTGAATCATTGAACTCCGACCGTGTGATCGAATGATTAAGGCATTTTCTGTGGAACGTATAGGTGGTGAGTTCGACCTTCTGTGTGTTAGGTATGTGGGTGTGTGGTTCTGAGGAGTTCTATGCTAGGACGAAAGGGCTTTCCAGTTCCCCTAAGTTTTCAATAGTTTCCCAACTGATCTTAGCTCTTGACGAATATTACCTTTAAAGTACAATCCCATTTAATTTCAAACTTTGTATCATTTACAAGACATGATAATGCATGGGAGTAATAATAATGACAGTAATAATGTTGATGATTAAACTTTGAAAATAGTTTGTTTTTCACAACCAATAAAACTGGACAATGAACAATTCAAAAAAGGATGTTTTTTTGAAAAATGATGGGAACGTGAATATCACCTAGTTTATATTAGTTCACTAGACGGATACTGCAGCATCCTAACCTGAAGACTGATGAACATGAATTTTTGACGAACATTTTTATTTTAATGCCCTTGTCTGGGTTTATAATATCTGAGGAATTTTCACTTTGAGTTAACGACCAATATTCAGAGGAATATTTGTCAGATGATTTATTGAATTATTACAATGTATGCATCAGGGAGATTCTATGAGACAGTCGTGGTTCGACAGACTGATGTTTTTGATACTGGGTGATGACTGAAGGTGAAGTAAAAATCTGTGTGGCAACAAGGTACGAACCAGCCGCTTCCAAGTGGGAATCCCTAAAACTGACTTATAAGATCCAGCTACTGATCAGGTAGGTTATTTTTTGCAAGACTGACCTGTAAGGATAAGTGGTTTACTTGATGACTTCACCACTGAGAGATACAAGCTCAAATTCTCCGCAGAATAAGAATTTCATCACGGTTAGCATGCGTAAGATGTTTCGCCTAAAGTTTAAGTGCACTTCTTCATCTGAAACCCTTGAATTTTTCAGAAGAAAAAGTCAAAAATATAACACTCAAAATGAACAATCTGTGAAAAACTAAAATTTTGATTTTTTTAAACTGTTTTAGGATAATTTCTAAGAGAAGATGGTTTGATTATTGAGGGGAAAAGCAAATGGAGACAGTTTTCCTGAAATCTCTTTCATCAGGAGTTAACATCAAAAACGGAGTCATAGAAAATAACATATACTGACCTTCATACTTTATTTTGGTCCTTAAAGAGTTATCATTCACCAACTAACTTCAGTTCTAGCTTGAAATTTAATTTCGTGTTACTTATCGTTTAACAAGATAGTCTGTCTACAATCAAACCTCCAAAAATTACAGTATATTGAGCACATAAAATGTACGTTTGAACTGAAGTTTATTAAGTTTTCCCAGTCCACCTTACACACTTTGATGGCAAAGTCATATCACTTACTGTAAAATATTAGTTTGGTTTGAGGGGATCGGCAGGAGGCCCTGTTCAACATACCTTTTGTACTTGTTCGTATTCGTCAGCAAAGCGTATCTGGAACCTCGATAGAACTGGTGTCCCTGTGGAATTCGAATTTGCGTCATCCATTGTTTTAGATAACGACGTTATTATTGAGCCATACTGGCGGCAATTGATCCTATGTAGGACTGGGTTAGATACTCTGACTAGTTAATGAAGAGCAACCAGTTCCTTGTTGTCTAATCCTGAATGATTATACTTAAAGGTAATAAATAGAATAATTATTGTGAAGAAAGAAAAAGTGATTAATGAGTAGGGAATAAGATTTTTAACAATATAATTCACATGTTTGGATCATAAAGATCATGCTGCATTCTGAAAATATCTATTGTTTTTTTTTGTGAGTCAGTTTTAAAGCAAAAACCTCAACACTTTTTCACAACAACTGCATTTTCAGGAACTACTGAATCATATATGTCGTGAAACTAATCACGCTGATTTGTAGTTATTCTTGTTTTTCATTGGAGTTTATTTTTAACACGAAGTTTCCTCTTCACATAACATCTTATAGAGGATAAAATTGATTGTTTTGACCAATGAAGAATCAACTGAAAGCGTTATGCCCTATGGATTTATAACTGCTAATAAGTATCATCGATTAGAATTTATGGTCAAAGATTATATACACTTAAAGTTGATAAGAAATCTGAGTCATAATGATGCATAACAAATGACTGGCCTTACTCTCTATTGACTAAGCGACGACAGTCAACCGTTGATTAGGTCTGATGGTTTGCTATGATTGTTAGCGTTTTGATCCAGTTGTCATATAAGATAAATATTTGATAGATCATTCTTCATAACAATTTCTGTCGAGATGTTCAGAACTCAGATGTTAATTAGTAGGAAGTCTTGAACCCAGGTTTGTAGTTTGTTGGTGTTCATTAAAAACGACTAACTGTAGCCTAGAGAGAACTAATATCTCATTCAAGATCCGTGTTGGGGTTAGAAATGTTACCAATCAGCTATTCATGTCACGGGACTAGACCGTCTGGCATTGGCTACTCTCCCGTGGCCAATTAGTTTTGTCAGAACTCTGGAAGGATGCAGTGAAATTGAGACGAGATCAGAAGCCGGATATTGTATCTTACCTAGACGTAGAGATGGGTAATAGTCCCAATGGAACTGCTTAGAATTCAAAAGTAATCCACTTTTCCGTCAAATTCAGTCACAATCATTTCATGATCAACTTGATCAGCTATCCAAGAAGGTTATCTCAGAGTATTCAGGCATCTGTTATT